AGCGGAGAACGCAGAGAAGGTTGAGGACGAGCTGAAGGCGGAGAAACGCAAACTGCAGAGAGAGGCACGGTGTTTCTGGAAGCTGGAGCGTTTGGGAAGCAGAGTTCAGGCTAACTGTGATTCTCCTCTGGTCCAACAGCTGCGGACGGCGCTGGATAAGATCGAGGAGCTGGAGTCGAGCAACAGCCACCTGAATAAAAGACTGGAGAAGATGAAGTCGAGCCGCGGCATGGCCCAGACGCCATAACAGAACCCGTCAGGATCCCTCCAAACAACCCAACTCCCAACGTGCCATTTTCTGTCTGCTCCCGGTGGAAAGGAATTCTGGACCCAAACGGGTCGGTGTGGACGCTCTTCGTCAGCTCCAGCTGCAGGTGGAAGAGTTCAGGCTCTGTGACCGTCGTCTCCACCTACAGACAAACTGTTTCCCAGTTTCCTGAACTCAACATCTTTTACAGGATCGATACCTTCCTATCCCTTCTATCCTTCACCGCTGGTTTTTTACTGCAGCAGTTTGATTGGACGCCGCCGCCGCATCTCCGAGCTGCTTCCTGTAGTCTGTCACTGGTTGGCTTGTAAAAACGCTGAGACTTGCTGAGAGGAGGCAGGAGTTACCAAACACACTGGGGAGAAGCTGTTCACTGTTTACAAAGCTTTAAATGTTTGTAAGGACACATGAAGAACTGCAATCTGTGCAATAAAATATCTGAGATTCTCTTCATTTTTCACTTTGTGTTGGACTTTTGGGCAGCAGGATGTGGCGAATCGTTTCAGGGTGTTGCAGCCTGGATGTCGTTAACTACTGTGTCAGTATGGGGCAAGATCACTGTCAATAAGAAATATAAACACAGAAAAATGCAACAATTTAAGATTTGTATTTGTTGCAAACAGAACAACTCACAAATTTACGAGTTGTAGAATTTACTGACATTATGAATGGAAGAACGTGTAAATTTGTGATTTAAACTTGTATTATTGAAGAATTGTAAGTTGATTCATAAACTTTAAACATCTATTCTCACAGATAAAACCTGAATTCATATGTATGAGTTGAAAAACAAAAGCAAATCTGAAAATGTATCCATGTTTAATCATAAATTTAGATTCCAACACTTGCGGTTGTTATTGGCAGTCATCTTTTCCCGTATGTCAATGCTGAATGTGCAGCTGCTCTGTTGAAGAAGAAACTTTTATTTGGTCTGTTGAAAGAAATAAAAATATAAAATAATAAGCTGAAGTGGGATTCAAACACTCCTCCTTGGCTGCCACCTTATGGTGGTGGAGGGTCTGAGGGCCCCAATGACCCCAGGAGCTCTGCTATCTGGGGCTTCATGCCCTGGTAGGGTCACCCAAGGCAGACAGGTCCTATGTGAGGGACCAGACGAAGCGCAGCCCGAAGACCCCGATGATGAATGGCAGCTTTGGACTTAGTGTTCCCTCGCCCGGACGCGGGTCACCGGGGCTCCACTCTGGAGCCAGGCCTGGAGGTGGGGCACGTTGGCGAGAGCCTGGTGGCCGGGCTTTTACCCATGGAGCCCGGCCGGGCCCAGCCCCAAGAGGAGACACGGGTCCCTCCTCCCATAGGCCCACCACCTATGAGAGGAGCCAAAGGGGTCGGGTGCGATGTGAGATGGCTGAGGCAGGGGGTCCTGGCCGTCTGATCCTCGGTTGCAGAAGCTCTTGGTGTGGAACGTCACCTCTCTGGTGGGGAAGGAGCCGGAGCTGGTGTGTGAGGCTGAGAGGTTCCAGCTAGAAATAGTCGGTCTCACCTGAACGCATGGCTCTGGTTCTGGAACCAGTCTCCTTGAGAGGGGCTGGATGTACTTCCACTCTGGAGTTCCCCACAGCGAGAGGTTTGGGGCAGTAGTGGGCATACTTGCTGCTCCCCATCTCGACGCCTGTACGTTGGGGTTTACCCCGGTGGACAAGAGGGTAGCCTCCCTCCGCCTTCAGTTGGGGGACGGGTTCTAACTGTTGTTTGTGCTTACGTCCTGAACAACAGTTCAGATTACCCACCCTTCTTGAAATCCTTAGAGGGAGTCCTGGAGAGTGGCCCTCCTGGGGACTCCCTCATTCTGCTGGGGGACTTTAATGCTCACGTGGGCAACGACAGTGAGATCTGGAGGGGCGATGTTGGGAGGAACGCTCCACCCGATCTGAGCTTTAGTGGTGTTCTGGTTGTTGGACTTCTGTGCTCGTCTCAGATTGTCTATAACAAACACCATGTTCAGGCACAAGGGTCTCCATATGTGCACTTGGCACCAGGACACCGTAGGCCCCAGTTTGATGAATGACTTTGTCGTCGTTTCATCGGATCTGTGGCCGTATGTTTTGGACACTCGGGTGGAGAGAGGTGTGGAGCTGTCCACTGACCACTACCTGGTGGTGATTGGCTCTGGTGGTGGGGGAGGATGTCGGTCAGACCTGGCAGGCCCAAACATGATGTGAGGGTGTGCTGGGAACGTCTGGCTAAGTCCCCTGTGAGACGGAGCTTTAACTCCCATCTCCGGCAGAACTTCGAACATGTTCTGGGGAAGGTGGTGGACATTGAGTCCAAGTGGACCATGTTTCATGCCTCCATTGTTGAGGTGGCTTATCGGAGCTGTGGCAGCAAGGTTGTCAGTGCCTGTCGTGGCGGCAACCCTCGAACCCGTTGGTGGACACCTTTGGTGAGGGATGCTGTCAGGGAGTGGATGAGATTTGCCCGGAGTTTCTTAAAGCTCTGGATGTTGTAGGGTTGGTTTGGTTGACACAACTCTGCAGTATCACATGGACATCAGGGGCAGTTCCCCTGGATTGGCAGAGTGGGATGGTGGTCCCCCTGACCAGAGGGTGTGCTCCAATTATAGAGGGATCACACTCTTAAGCCTCCCTGGCAAGGTCTATTCAGGGGTCCTGGAGAGGAGGGTCTGTAGGATAGTCGAACCTCGGATTCAGGAAGACCAGTGTGGTTCTGGTTCTGGTCGTGGAACACTGGACCAGCTCTACACCCTCAGCAGGGTCCTGGAGGGTTCTGGGAGTTCCCCCAACCGGTCCACATGTGTTTTGTGGACTTGGAGAAGGCGTTCGACCGTGTCCCTGTGGGGGGTTCTCCAGGAGTATGGGGTACTGGGCCCTTTGATATGGGCTGTCAGGTCCCTGTATGACCGGTGTCAGAGTCTGGTCCGCATTGCCAACAATAAGTTGGGCTCGTTTCTGGTGAGGGTTGGACTCCGCCAGGGCTGCCCTTTGTCACCGGTTCTGTTCATTACCTTTATGGACAGAATTTCTAGGCGCTGCCGAGGTGATGAGAGGATCCGTTTTTAGGATCACATCTCTGGTTTTTGCAGATGATGTGGTCCTATTGGCTTTATCAGGTCATGATCTGCAGCTCTCACTGGAGCGGTTCGCAGCCGAGTGCGAAGCAGCCGGGATGAGGATCAGTGCCTCCAAGTCCGAGGCCGTGGTCTTGAGCCAGAAAAGGGTAGAGTGCTTCTCCGGGTCGAGGGGGATGTCCTGCCCCAAGTGGAGGAGTTTAAGTATCTCAGGATCTTGTTCACGAATGAGGGAAGAAGGGAACGGGAGATCGACAGGAGGATTGGCACAGCGTCCACCGTGAAGCGGCGCTGTGCCGGTCCGTTGTAGTGAAGAGAGAGTTGAGTCAAAAAGCGAAGCTCTTGATTTACCGGTCGATCTACGTTCCTACCCTCATCTATGGTCATGACTTTGGGTCATGACCAAAAGAATGAGATCGCGGATACAAGCGGCTGAAATGGGTTTCCTCCATAGGGTGGCTGGGCTCTCGCTTACAGAGAGAGAAGCTCGGTCATCCTGCAGGCACTCAGAGTAGAGCTGGTGCTTCTCCACATCGAGAGGAGCCAGTTGAGCCTCCATCCAGATGGTCAGGATGGAGGCTTCCTGGTGAGGTGTTCAGGTCCCACCAGGGGAAGACCAGGACATGTTGGAGAGCCGATGTCTCTCGGCTGGCCTGGGAACGCCTCGGGATTCCCCCAGAGGAGCTGGAAGAAGTGGCTGGGAAAGGGAAGCCTGGGCCTCCATTCTTCAGCTGCTGCCCCTGCGACCCGGATGGATGGATGGATGGATGGATGGATGGATGGATGGATGGATGGATGGATGGAAGATGGATGAATGGATGGTTGAATGGATGGATGGATTGATGGATGGATGGATGGATGGTTGGTTGCTTGGAAGATGGATGGATGATGGATGGATGGATGGATGGATGGATGGATGGATGGATGGTTGGTTGGTTGGTTGGTTGGTTGGTTGGTTGGGTGGTTGGTTGGTTGGTTGGTTGGTTGGATGGATGGATGGATGGATGGATGATGGATGGATGGATGGATGGATGGATGGTTGGTTGGTTGGTTGGTTGGGTTGGTTGGTTGGTTGGTTGGATGGATGGTTGGATGGATGGATGGATGGAAGATGGATGGATGGATGGTTGAATGGAGGATGGATGATGGATGGATGGATGGATGGATGGATGGATGGATGGATGGGATGGATGGTTGGTTGGTTGGATGGATGGATGGTTGGTTGGTTGTTGGATGGTTGGTTGGTTGTTGGTTGGTTGGTTGGTTGGTTGGTTGGTTGGTTGGTTGGTTGGTTGGTTGGATGGATGGATGGATGGATGGTTGGTTGGTTGGTTGGTTGGTTGGTTGGTTGGTTGGTTGGTTGGTTGGTTGGTTGGATGGATGGATGGATGGATGGTTGGTTGGTTGGTTGGTTGGTTGGTTGGATGGATGGATGGATGGATGGATGGATGGATGGATGGATGGTTGGTTGGTTGGTTGGTTGGTTGGTTGGTTGGTTGGTTGGTTGGTTGGTTGGTTGGTTGGATGGGATTCAAACAAACTGAATGTCAGAAGGTTTATTACTGTAGAAATAAGTTTTAAATGTAACTGAATCTCTTGGAAAGTTAACATTGGTTAGCATGCTAGCTAACATTTTAGCTGTAGATTGTTAGATTAGCTCTTATTATTTTTATGTTAGCATTAGCCAAAATGCATGATGATTGGAACTCCTTCATGTCGTGTTTTCATCGGATTTTATTGTATGCAATCTGCTGAACTTTAATATTTCCTCTTGCAGTCATATTGGCAGCAGATGGTTCTGACCCAACTCCAGATGACGCCACAGTTTCCAGTAAGAACAGAAACATTTTCTTTATTTTGCTCAAAAACTGAATCACATTTGATCTGATTTTATGGTTTTGTTTCTTTCCAGAAAAATTTGTTAATTCTTAATAAATTAAACCAAGAAGTGAAATTTTACTAACATTTATACAAAGAAATAACTGATATTCTCTGTTTCTGTTGCTTCATAGATCCTTAAAGACTCATCCAGGTTTATGGGACAGACTTCTGGGTATTGTAGTTTCTGACTCTGGATTGTGGCAGTAAGTCCGGTTCTGGATGCGTTTGACCATCCGCCGGCCGTAGAAGTCTCGGTACTCCGCCGGAAGCTCGTCCAGAGCGTGCAGCGCCCTCTCCAGAGTCTGCAGCGCCTGAGCAGCGGCCAGCGGGTCTTTATTGCCGTACGGGTCCTTCTTGTCATACGCGTCTGCAGGCAGGTGGCGCCAGAAGACGTTAACGCCGACTCCAAAGTGCAGAGCGAGGGTGTTATGGAACCACAGCGCTGGGGAGGACGGGACATTAGTTTGGATTCATCCAGAGTTTCTGGAAGAAATCTGGATTTTCCTACCAGGGATGAAAAGCAGATCTCCAGGCTCCAGAACGCAGTCATATCTTGTGGCTTTTATAAACTCAGGAAACCGTTTCAGATCCGGAGCATCGATGTCCAGAACCTCTGATTTGTCACCTATGGGTTGAAACAGCAAAGTGACACTTCAACCTGTTTTCCTCAGAGTTTAAACATGGACGCATCAGGTTCAGGTTTTCATTGGACCTCACCGTTGAGGTAGAGGTGCAATGCATCCTGGGGCCTGTAGAGGGCGACCCTCTTCCTTCCTGTGACCTGAGCCAGCAGGTTGTCCATCACCTTCAACGACAGAGCAATCTGAAAACAGCTGGCTCGACGTTAAAGCTGCTGAGACCCGGTCCGACCAGAACTCACGTCATAGTGGGTCCACAGCTGCAGACCACAGGAGCTGATCCGGAAAACACTGGAGAAGAACCGGTCCGGCTCAAAGAACTGCGGCGTGTGAAAGTCCTCAGCCAGGTCCGGGAATTGTCTGCTCAGGTCAGCGGGTTCCTGCAGAGACAGAACCAACCCGAGGAAAACGGACAAGCAGCCCATCAGAACCCAGAAACTCTACATCTGAAACCCAGAACTGACCCGCTCAGACTTTGTTGCATTGCAAACTCAGAGCAGAACCAACAGTCAGCGAGATCAACATGGCGATGCCTGCAGCTGCTGTTTGGATCACTGCTTCCGAACATCTGATCGAGTTTAACCATCAGCTTTAATCTGTTCAGCTTGGAGCTGCAGGCCCTGCCTGTCGCAGACATCTTTATAAAATAAACATGTTTCCACCTCAGCTTCCTGCTGTCGATGTCCAATACGAACCACACTGTCTAATCACTCATGTCTCATCATCCTCATCATCATCATCCTCCCAAAGGCAGCCAGACTGGAAACGCTACACTCATTGAGCTCATTTCAGTCGTTTACCTTCCGGGCATCGTCCCCCAACGAGCGGAGGTAGTAGCTCTCCTCCTGAAACCAAAGCCAGCAGTTTATCCCAGTGCAGGAAAATGATCCGCAGTTAATCCAGCTGATCCGATCCTACCTCAGCCAGGAAGAAGTCAGAGTGTTTGGTCTCAGCTGCTCTCCTGACGAACTCATCGAACGGCAGAGTCCTGGTGATAAAATGTCCAGAAGGTCAGAGGTCAGATCCTCCGTCACAGCTGAAGCTCTGGATGTTGCTCACCTGTAGATGAAGTTTTTATGCAGGAAATCCATCTGAGGTACAGAGGAGACGTGGACCTTCACCTCCCTCTGACCTCCCGTCATCGCCAGGTATTCAACTGTCCACCTGTCCACACATGGGCCCAGATCCACGCCCCGCAGGACCGCAGGGCAGCGCTGGAGGACAGGGACACACCGCACCAATCAGAACCAACAAGACACTACAAGTTCATCCATATCCAGCCTGAAACCAACTCTCAAGCATGGTGGTGGAGGAATCATGATCTGGGCCTGCATTGATGTATTTGTTGAAGCCTTTTCTAACATGACCTGCTTCATAAGCTTTATATTAAAAATAGGTAGTTATTATCATTTTAGTCTTTAAAGCATCCGATGTTGCTAATAGCGTCATATTTCCTGTCAGCGACATTAGTAATGAAATCAGGTCAGTTGCTCTGTTTCTGCTGTGACCAGTGAAACTCGGGTGTTGCACTGAAAACGTCCTCGCGTTTTCTGGAGCCCACCGGAGCCGTTCCGTCTTACCCCGGGATAAACCTGGTTCAGAAACACGTCCCGGTCCACTTCAGTAAAAATCGGAACCGCTACTCTTTCCTGGAGCTCCATTTAAAGTAACTTAGGACTCAATGATCTATTCACGGAAGTTACGGGATCACAGCTTCCGCTGGTGTTACTTTGTTATTGTTCCCCACATGGAGGAAGAACCAGCTAAAGATACATAAAAGAAACATTAAATGTTATTTGAATAAATGGCACAAATAGTTTAGTGAAGGTGAAGCTGGGTCACGGCTCTGGTTTCTGCTGGGTTTCTGACGGGAAAAACGTGTTTCGGGTCGGAACCAGCAGTGAAGCGGACGGTAAAGATGGTGTCCGTCCTGTTCAGATGTTATCGTCGGCTGCCTTCATCCTTCACTCTGGCTCGGTTCGTTTTCAACCAGAATCTGGTTCGGAGTCAGCGGTGCTGTCTGGTCCGGGCGGGTAGCCTCCCGGCCAGCCGGGCCTACAGCTCGGAGCGCGATCAGAACCACCCGAAGCCGAAGGTGGTGGTGTTCGGCATCCCGAACCCGTTCATCTGGATCCGGACCCGGATCTGCTACTTCTTGATCAGAACCTACTTGGACGAAGAGTTCAGCATCGAGGAGTTCACACAGGGAGCGAAGCAGGTCCGGTACCAGATCTGGGTTCTGGTCGGTTCACAACATCATCATCATCATCATAATTATTATTATTTTCATTTTATTCTTATTGTGGCATCGATAGTTTTATAGTTCTTACATAGCATTTGATATAAAATTCTTAAAATAGTTTTTTTAATTAGATTTGTTTTTAATTTTCTGAAGGAAATGATATGAATGTTTGTATCTTGTGTTTGTTGTATGGAAATGAGGCCTTTGATAAATCTGGTATATTTACAACAATGTTATGTTATGTTCTGTCACATCCATCCACCAGCGTCATCTGGGTTCTGTCCTCCATCTTGGTTTTGTCCTCAGTGATTTGGACTCTGTCCTCTGTCCTCCAGGCTTTCTCCCACGTCTCCAGACTTTTGTCTCGGTGTCAGTTTGAGGCTCTGGAGGGCCTCGTCGCTAAAGATGTGAGTATGAAGATGATGATGATCTCAGTGGGTCAGCAGCAGCATCTTCATCATGTCTTCCTCCTCTGTCCTGCAGCTGGTCAGGAAGCTGAAGCAGAAGTGCGGCTCGTTGCCGTGCAGCTACCAGAGAGCTCTGTGTGCCGAGCCGCAGGACATGATGTACACGATGCTGGGAGACATGGCCGTCTTCTTAGACCACAACGGTGAGCTAAGATCTGGCAGCACAAACAAAACACTGACAACAGCACATTTATTCCTAACAGGGCTTTTTATTCATTTATTATTAATAAAAAACACAAATGATTTCTTACAAACTGTTTTTATTTATTTTGAAAGACACTAATTAATTTCTAACTTTAAGTGTTTAGATTAGGGGTCACCAACCTGGTGCCCGCGGGCACCCGGTCGTCCGGAGGGACCTTTTCAGTCGCCCGCGGAGCCACTTCTAAAAATAGCATTATCATTAGGGAGCACTACCAAAAAATAATTTAATTAAATGTTTTTACATTGAAGTAATGATGTTTGTTTATATTTAGAGTTCAAAAGAGGAAAATGATAAAAACGTTTCAAATAAATTACTTTACGTATAAAACTCTTTCGCTGTTGAAGTTCAGAACTGCGCACAGGCGCCTGCAGGAAACTATCGGAGCGCAGCAGCACCTGCAGCTGCACTCTGTGTACCTTGACATTTTCCTTTAAGTAAAGAAAGAAAAGAATAACTTCTGGAGTTTTTATTATTTAACCCTATTTACTATTAACAAAATTGTGAAGAAAAATTAAATAAATTGTGCCAAAACATCTTATTCGTAGTGCACACCTGGGAATCAACACAACCTCTTTCTGTGAACCACATGAGGAGGCTTCGCTTCCATGTCTTTATTATTTAGCATCGTCTGGATAAAATCCGCTGCTCTTGGTTCAGGTTTGTGCTGATTTTTGCACATTGGAGAGGAGCTTGTGCTCTTGCAGATCAGGTGCAGTGACAGTTTTTGTTGGACCTTTATTTTCTCCACATCAGCTGGTGTCAGCCAGCGGGACCCGTCAGCTGTTCGGTTCGCAAAACCACAAAAAAAGCGAATAAACCGGCGACCCGCTAGAACCGCGCAGACTGTCAGAAGCTCAGGCTGAACGTAGAACAACAGGAGGTTCAAACCCAACTCGTTCATTTTTAGCTTGCAGAAAAACGCAAAGCCGTTAAATTAATAAAAGCAAACTGACCAATAAGACTTGGGCTTTGTTGTTCCCCACCTCACGCATCAGACTGACAGCTGTGTGTGTTTAATATGTTTTGACACAAAAGCTATTTTATTTTCCACAATTTTGCTAATAGAACAGATGGTTAGATAATAAAACTATAACTCTTCTTTTCTTTTTTATTTAAAGGAAATTTTCAAGGTACTCAGTGTTGTACAGCTGCAGGTGTTACTGCAACAATCCATCAGTTTGCTTTGGTTTATATATATATATATATATATATATATATATATATATATATATATATATATATATATATATATATATATATATATATATATATACAGTTAGGGCCAGAAATATTTGGACAGTGACACAGGTTTTGTTATTTTAGCTGTTGACAAAAATATGTTCAGAAATACAATTTATATATAATATGGGCTGAAAGTGCACACTCCCAGCTGCAATATGAGAGTTTCCACATCCAAATAGGAGAAAGGGTTTAGGAATCATAGCTCTGTAATGCAGAGCCTCCTCTTTTTCAAGGGACCAAAAGTAATTGGACAATGGACTCTAAAGGCTGCAAGTAACTCAAAAGGCCTTTCCCTCGTTAACCTGTAATCAAGTAAGTAGTTAAAAGGTCTGGGGTTGTTTCCAGGTGTGTGGTTTTGCATTTGGAAGCTGTTGCTGTGACCAGACAACATGCGGTCAAAGGAGCTCTCAATTGACGTGAAGCAGAACATCCTGAGGCTTAAAAAAAGGAAAAAATCCATCAGAGAGATAGCAGACATGCTTGGAGTAGCAAAATCAACAGTCTGGTACATTCTGAGGAAAAAGGAATTGACTGGTGAGCTTGGGAACTCAAAAAGGCCTGGGCGTCCACGGAAGACAACGGTGGTGGATGATCGCCGCATACTTTCTTTGGTGAAGAAGAACCCGTTCACAACATCAACTGAGGTCCAGAACACTCTCAGAGAAGTAGGTGTATCTGTCTCTAAGTCAACAGTAAAGAGAAGACTCCATGAAAGCAAATACAAAGGGTTCACATGTAGATGCAAACCATTCATCAATTCCAAAAATAGACAGACCACAGTTAAATTTGCCCAAAAACACCTCAAGAAGCCAGCCCAGTTCTGGAAAAGTATTCTATGGACAGATGAGACAAAGATCAACCTGTACCAGAATGATGGGAAGAAAAAAGTTTGGAGAAGAAAGGAACGGCACATGATCCAAGGCACACCACATCCTCTGTAAAACATGGTGGAGGCAACGTGATGGCATGGGCATGCATGGCTTTCAATGGCACTGGGTCACTTGTGTTTATTGATGACATAACAGCAGACAAGAGTAGCCGGATGAATTCTGAAGTGTACCGGGATATACTGTCAGCCCAGATTCAGCCAAATGCTGCAAAGTTGATCGGACGGCGCTTCACAGTACAGATGGATAATGACCCCAAGCATACAGTCAAAGCTACCCAGGAGTTCATGAGAGCAAACGGTGGAATATTCTGCAATGGCCAAGTCAATCACCAAATCTTAACCCAATTGAGCATGCATTTCACTTGCTCAAATCCAGACTTCAGACGGAAAGACCTACTAACAAGCAAGACCTGAAGGCTGCGGCTGTAGAGGCCTGGCAAAGCATTAAGAAGGAGGAAACCCAGCGTTTGGTGATGTCCATGGGTTCCAGACTTAAGGCAGTGATTGCCTCCAAAGGATTCGCAACAAAATAGAGAGAAAACTTTTTGTTTGGGTTATGTTTATATGTCCAATTACTTTTGAGCTCCTAAAATGTGGAGTGTTTGTAAACAAATGTGTACAATTCCTACATTTCTATCAGATATTTTTGTTCAACCCTTTAAATTAAACGTTACAATCTGCACTTGAATTCTGTTGTAGAGGTTTCATTTCAAATCCAATGCGGTGGCATGCAGAGCCCAACTCACAAAATTGTTACTGTCCAAATATTTCTGGCCCTAACTGTATATATATATATATATATATATATATATATATATATATATATATATATATATATATATATATAAAGACTGCATCAAACAAGTGCCCTTCGTGTTGCTCTGTACCCGTGAAGTTGCTCCCAGTCTCAAAAAGGTTGGTGATCCCTGGTTTAGATTATTTAAAAGGAAAGAAACCAATCTGAGGGTCTTTTCTGAATAAATATTTGATCTGAAGGCTGAGGAGCATCTGATGGGAAGGAACTTTCCTGGTGGACAGAAACTTTTCCTGTACCTACTGCAACTTTGAGCGTGTGATAAGGGAACAATGGGAGCATGGGAAATATTGTCTTTTTGGAGAATTTTAAATAATAAATTCATTGTAAATGGGATTTGTGTTGGTTCTAACCACTTCTTCCCCCGATGCTACAAATGAAATGCTAATAGAGCTGCAAAAAAAAGGTTTTATAATTATATTGCTAAATTATTTATTTGATTTTGAAAGGGAACAAAATCAAACTAAAATTAATTTATATTTCAGGTTTTAGAAAAAAATAAAATTTCTATGATATATCTGTAGATCTGTCATGGAGATAAAACCAGCCTTCATGAACTAAAACCTCTTGTTTGGTTTTCTTTAAGTGACAGTGCAGGAGCTGAGCTATGACACAAACTCCAAAACAGAGAAGAAACAAATGCAACAGAAAAAGAAACGTGCAGCTGGAAATAGAAGCTAAATATGAAAAACAGCAAATTTAAAATTCTGCCAACTGGATCGGCTCCCCCAGACCACCAGGGGGAGCCGATCACCAGACTATCTGGGACCAGACGTTTGTAAAGACAGGATGGCCAGGAAGAGTTGGAGGAAGAAAGTAAAGATGCATGATAGATGTGTCTGAATTCAAGGTCTGCATCCTGGGTCTACCTGGGTCTACCAGGGTCTACCTGGGTCTACCTGGGTCTACCTGGGTCTACCAGGGTCTACCAGGGTCTACCAGGGTCTACCTGGGTCTACCTGGGTCTACCTGGGTCTACCTGGGTCTACCAGAGTCTACCAGGGTCTACCAGGGTCTACCTGGGTCTACCAGGGTCTACCAGGGTCTACCAGGGTCTACCTGGGTCTACCAGGGTCTACCTGGGTCTACCAGTCTACCAGGGTCTACCAGGGTCTACCTGGGTCTACCAGGGTCTACCTGGGTCTACCAGGGTCTACCTGGGTCTACCTGGGTCTACCAGGGTCTACCTGGGTCTACCTGGGTCTACCTGGGTCTACCTGGGTCTACCTGGGCCTACCAGGGTCTACCTGGGTCTACCAGGGTCTACCTGGGTCTACCAGGGTCTACCAGGGTCTACCTGGGTCTACCAGGGTCTACCTGGGTCTACCAGGGTCTAACCGGGTCTACCTGGGTCTACCAGGGTCTACCTGGGTCTACCAGGGTCTACCTGGGTCTACCAGGGTCTACCTGGGTCTACCAGGGTCTAACAGGGTCTACCAGGGTCTACCTGGGTCTACCAGGGTCTACCAGGGTCTACCAGGGTCTACCAGGGTCTACCTGGGTCTACCAGGGTCTACAGGGTCTACCTGGGTCTACCAGGGTCTACCTGGGTCTACCAGGGTCTACCTGGGTCTACCTGGGTCTACCAGGGTCTACCAGGGTCTACCTGGGTCTACCTGGGTCTACCTGGGCCTACCAGGGTCTACCTGGGTCTACCAGGGTCTACCTGGGTCTACCAGGGTCTACCAGGGTCTACCAGGGTCTACCTGGGTCTACCAGGGTCTACCTGGGTCTACCAGGGTCTACCTGGGTCTACCAGGGTCTAAGGGTCTACCTGGGTCTACCAGGGTCTACCTGGGTCTACCAGGGTCTACCTGGGTCTACCAGGGTCTACCAGGGTCTACCTGGGTCTACCAGGGTCTACCTGGGTCTACCAGGGTCTACCTGGGTCTACCAGGGTCTAACAGGGTCTACCTGGGTCTAACAGGGTCTACCTGGGTCTACCAGGGTCTACCTGGGTCTACCAGGGTCTACCAGGGTCTACCTGGGTCTACCAGGGTCTACCTGGGTCTACCAGGGTCTAACAGGGTCTACCTGGGTCTACCAGGGTCTACCAGGTAGACCCTGGTAGACCCAGGTAGACCCTGGTAGACCCAGGTAGACCCTGGTAGACCCTGGTAGACCCAGGTAGACCCTGGTAGACCCTAGTAGACCCTGGTAGACCCTAGTAGACCCAGGTAGACCCTGTTAGACCCTGGTAGACCCTGGTAGACCCAGGTAGACCCTGTTAGACCCAGGTAGACCCTGTTAGACCCTGGTAGACCCAGGTAGACCCTGGTAGACCCAGGTAGACCCTGGTAGACCCTGGTAGACCCAGGTAGACCCTGGTAGACCCTGG